TTGTTTTTGTTGTTTTTGTCGTTGTTCTGTTGTTGTTCTTTTGTTGTTGTTGTTTTTGTTGTTGTTGTTGTTCTTGTTCTTGTTCTTGTTGTTGTTGTTGTTGTTGTTGTTCGTTTTTGGTTGTTGTTTTTGTTCTTTTGTTTTGCTGTTGTTGTTTTTTGTGTTTGTTCTGTTTTTTTGTTGTTGTTTTGTTGTTGTTGTTCTGTTGTTGTTGTTGTTGTTGTTGTTTTGTTGTTGTTGTTGTTCTGTTGTTGTTGTTGTTGTTGTTGTTGTTTGTTGATGTTTGTTGTTTGTTGATGTTTCTTGTTTGTTGTTTGTTGTTTATGATGATGATGTTGTTGTTGTTCTTGTCGGTCATTGGTCTTGTTGCTGCGACATCGCCCAAGCGCTTGCCGGAGTCCCTGTCAGGAACACGCCGGCCCCGCTCCGCTCACGCTCACGGTCATCATCCTAGACGGGGTCAGCAACTTTCTGTGGCGGATGCGTGGGGCGGGTAGGGGGCCGCAGAAAGTTGCAGTAGTTGATGGTGTCTAGTCGCTGTAGCAACGTGTGTGATTTTGCTTGGTCATTGACAAATTCATGGGCCTGTCGGCAGGGAAATGTTTGCAAGACAGTAAACGTGTTAGCTTCAACAATACTCGAACATGTTCCAGCGCACCGTAGTGTTCAGAGGGCCTCACTTGCCTACTTGCGTTGGTCTGGTCAATTGCCGCCCAGTGCTGAGAAAAGTAAGCACGTTTGAAAAACATGCCGCTGCCGAATCAAAACACACCCCGACTGCAGTATGGCACTGCCGCAAATGTACTGTAAAGTGGCAACAAGCGCCACGATCGATTGCAAGTGCTATTTCATCAACGTGAGCATGGATGGGTATTCCCAGTGCCGCAAGCCGACTGGCACTGCCAACCTGGGTGCCCAACTGCTCCCCAGACTTCATGGCAGTGGCTTCGCCATCACCAGGTCCAGGCCCGGACCTGGCCCCAAAGCGTTTCGGTGGGCGTTGGACGTGAGCGTTTGACAGCCGCCTTTTGTACCCGCACTGGGCACCACTGTTTAGCAGCACATATGTGGAACAAGCAATGGTGGCGGGTCAATGCACATGTCAGCATGCATGCCCAGGTCACAAACCAGCAACGACGCACTGCAATGGTTCGCGCGATTCAAACAGCAATGTGTGGCAAACGCACAACAATTGTTCGTGGCAGTGTTCGTGGCCAATATGCGCCGCCATCCTTTCCAAACTGGCAGCTTCGTGCCCGAGTTGCTGGGCTGTTCGTGGGTGTGTTGTTCCGGTCATCCGGTCATGGACGTTGGGCCGGTCATGGCAAGACGGTGCCAATGTCTCGAACAGATCACGAGGGCATCCAAGCCATACCATACGCAACGAACAGGAAACCAGTTCACGCGAACGCCACCAGAAGCAGGTTCCGACTTTCGCTGCCCCACCTGACACTAACCGTCTCCGCAAAGGCAGGTTCTGAGCGTTGTTTGGGCGATGTGTTTGCCTGCAAAACCTTTTACTGAATTGTTCATGGAAGACTTGCATGACAAACAAGGCAAATATTTCATTGGAACGCGAAGGGCTTTACTGAAGGGTTTGCCATGCCCTGCCGTGTAGCCTAAGGCCCTTTTGCATGTGTGATGCGCCATTGATTTTTGCTATACGATGCATTGGTAGGTTTCCCCGTCACTTGCGTCGTTTTCCCCTTCAATTTCCACAAATCAAAACTGTTGGTCGACGTTTTTTTGTGCCGCGTCCTGCCCCAGCGTGTTGTGTATTCGGCCGTCAATCCATGTGTACCGCAGGTCGTACACAAGATCGAACAAGTCAAAAATTTCAATTTCTGAGATGTTACAACAACTACCACCCGTTGAGGCCCACAAGGGTTTAGGTGGCTTACGTACCAACATTCCTGCGGAGGGCGGGTGCACATCAGTGGCTGTTCGTGAGCCATGGCGCGGGCAATAGGCAGACCGACGAACTGTTTATTCCACAACGTTTGCAATTGTTTTTTCATGTTTTTCGGGGCCCGGCCTTGTCTGCAATCAAGAAAGATAGGTTCCTGAAAAAATTGCGTGCAGTTTTACAGGGAGGACATGTACCCGACAGATACATCAGCACTTCGTTTTGCGGCAGGCGTACTGCTCCAAACTTTGCTGTGTGTGGCAGCCTCCGAGGCAGCCGGCTGCCTCACAAAGTTTTTGGCGCGAAGCCGCGCTCGGCTAAACATTCTGAATCTGACGAAGGGGGAAGGATTCTTTGTTGTTGTTGTTGTTTCCTTCCTCTTACGTAGGGAAATTTTACATTTCGACTTTTTAGGTGAAAAATCCCTAAGCATTGTACATGTGGAAACACGCTGAGCTAAAACGACTCGTCCAACACCACTGTTTGCCGACTGGAAATCGCCAAATTTGCTGGGATGTGGCTTCGCGGGACACATTCAAATGCCGGCTTGGAGGAAGGTCACCCAAACGCAATTTGTTCGAAGAATTGTTTGCTTTTGTTTCTACACCGGTGAAGGCGCCACCCCATCACACGAAGGAACCAAACCCACAAGGACACAACTGCAACATCGTTGGTAAACCAGAGACAAACACCATGAACCACTACAAAGCACATTTCACAGATAAACACTTGATGCATGAGACGGCAAGTGCTGGACACAAATTGCCCACTTCAGGGCATCCACCCAAGCCAAGTTCAAGTCACAAAACGTTTCCACCCCCCAGAGCCACACATTGCCCAATGATTTTCCCAGGCATGCTATGTGTTTGCTTCTAACGATTGGGCAAGGAAATGGCCAGTTTGCAATGCCCGGGTTTCTGTGTGGGCCATGTCAGGAGCTGCAAGAGTCCGGGGTGTCTTTGGTGACCAACTTGACCGACCAAAATTTCGAGGACGCAATTGTGCAGGAATGTTGTTTGTTTGAATTGTTTTGAGGGGTGGGTTCCTGCTGTACAAGCAGCCATTTCAAGTCGAACCTCCCATTCGACGTTGGTCGCATTTGATCCTGAATACCCTGCAACCTGCTCCAAGGGAGTCCCGAACGAACAAAATGATTGAGAAGTGATTCGGTTCGGTGATGATGCACGTTTTGTTACTGTATGCTGCCCCCTGTTTGCAGAAATTGTTTCGACGTGTTGTGGGTTCACATGATCGGAACGAATGGCACCGCCCCATGGCTGTGCATGGAAAACAGATGATGGTTGGTAGACGATGGTAGGTCCACCCTGCATGCCACGGTGGCAAGAAACCCAATATGTTGCTGCCAAGCGTCGTCCATCAACGGTATCAATCACCAAAACCAAACCTGTTATGCCACGGGAATTTGCTGCGTTTGTCGCAGGAATTGGTAGCCCGTGGCGATAATAAGCCCCGGACTCACACTGTGGGCGGCACTCACATCTGATTTTTGCATATTTTTGCTTTACAAATGGAATACACCCTATCAGATCTATAGGGCTGGAGGCGAGTGGATGGACACATGAGCAACCACATATATGTTTTACTAAAAACGTCTAGGGCGTGCTATGTTTTCTTGTCTATCATCAATATTCACTTGTGAACGAGAGAGGTCCTCCACAAAAACGAGATACTTTTGCTTGATAACACTCGAATGGTTTGAACGAGATAGTTTGAATTGCTACGACAGTGGTCTGAACGAGGTACTGTGACATGCCCTCCCACTTAAGCACTCGTAGTCGTGCTGCCGCAATGCATATGGATATGCACGGCGGAAATACTTGGATCCAGCGCGTCCATGCCTGACTCAACCGCGGTTTGTTTCTGTTTTCGCACGGTCGTGTTGATTCAGCACGGCGATGAGGCCTTGGGTGGTGAAATTTTATGCTCCTTGGTGTGGGCATTGCAAGGCGTGGAGCGAGTGACCTTCCATCACTGCGTGCGTCCGAATCCGTGCGCTTGCGGCCGGGTGTGCGGACCAAGTGCGTCCGGGTGTCGAGCCTGCTGCAACGCAACGCCATGTTCCCTGATTCACGCAGAACATGTAATACAGCATAATAACGCCGAAAAACGTGTTGGTCTGATGTGACCTGGTTCAGGCTATTTTCCCCAACATTTGCTGCGTTTGCGACATTCCGTTCATTTCACCGGCTCACCGTTTTCCGTTGACCGAATCTGTTTTGTATCCGTGCACTATACAACTTGTGGTCAAAACACGCAGCATCACCGCAACGTCGCTATAACAACAAATGCTATGACGAAACCTCCAACGTGCAGGTTACGTCTTTGAAAAACAACCTCCAAGCAATAGAGAACCTTTTCAAGAACAGACCGAAAGCTCGAGACTCAAACAAGAAGTAGTTCGAAAAAAAAAACGTTCTAAACCACGGCTCTTGGCGTTGCTGCTCACAGTGGCCTTCAAGGGGAGCCGGGAGTAAGCCCTCAGGGCGTCGTGAACCATTGAGCCAGCGCCATGGGTGAGGTGAGTCCAGCCGTGTTGGCACATTTGCGCCTTGGACGTGAAAAACCCAGGGTGTCAATTGCGTGGGCAGATGTAGGGCCATGTAAAGTCCCAGCTATAGTATTGGAACATTTCATGGTGATCAGGGCCAGGGCAGTTTTGTTTTTGACTTGAAATTTCCATCAAGATAGTACTTCACATTAGCTCGGCGAGGCATTGTGCATCATTCACTCCCACACACACATTCACACCTACAGACCATGTTTAGCAGCTAGCAATCCAACAAATTCATATCATGAACACGTCAGGCCAGCACCATCTCGGTCTCAAAACGGTTTTGAACACCCACAATCCTCCAATGGCTGCACTGATGGCATCTCTCCTTAAGGGCCATGCATAAGTACAGATTCAACAACCGTACATCACTTGAAGACAGGACAAATGGTTTTGTGGGGCAGTGCTCGGCGTGCACAAGATACGCCGATGCTTCCAGGTTCTACGACTTGGCCAAGAGTGAGGCCAGTTTTTTAGGTCTCTTGCGGCTTTGGCAACTGCACGATCCAGGACTGAGTTCCGGCCACGGTATCCACAACTGATGCGCGATACGGTGTCCATGGATGTCCATGGATCAACTGAAGGAGATTGATTTGACCCTAAGTTCCATGGCAAACGGTTTTTTTTGCTATAGTTATTGCTGAGATCGGTCACTTGACATGCTTTCGTATCCACTCACTCGGACATGGTTGGGTGGCACTCTTTCAGATGTCGTTTGTCGCCAGCGTTCCGCACCCATTCTGAGCGGACCAATGTTGCACCGAGTGGGCCCCTTGCAGTTGCCTGAGCAAGTGAGTTAGTTCCCAGGTCTGCAGAGAGGCCGGTTGCATACGCCACACCAAGATCCGCGGAGCAGGATGTCCCAACTTTGATGAGGGCAAGCTGCAGCCAGTCACCGAAGAACTGCAGAGGCTGTTCCGAGACTGTTTCCGCAGGAAGTGCCACGATCATGGAATTAACAAATGTAATTTTTCAAGAGTTTAATCTCTACATGTTTGTTGTTAAAGTCTTGGAAACTGTCGTTTAGACAAATTTTGTGAGGTGCAATTGAGTTTGGCTAAACTATGCTAAACTGATTGTTTGCCAATTTGGCTAATCCGATGTGTGTGTTCCACGGTTGGAACATCCCCAAACGCGTTGTTATTTCTAGTTCGCGAGTGAATCATTGTTTTGCTGCTTTTTGAGGTGCTCTCCGTGCTAGGTCCTCTAGGACAAAGAACCCCTTACCCCCCTTCACCCCAAAATGAAACAAAAAATGATCAGAAAACCAGGAGTGGCACAGGCCTAGAAAGTAAGCCATGTGTCCAACAATTTCATGTGTTCCCTTAGGAAGCAGCTTATGTTTTGTAATTGTGTGCAGGCCGTGGGTTCAAAGGTCACTTGACACCTGATTGTCCCACTAGCCACTGAGCATTTGCTGGCTCTATATGACCGACATGCCGATCGTGTGCCCAGAAACCATGCCTTGTCCGAGTTCCCCCTTGTTTTAGCATTAAGTAAATGTATTGAATTGGCCAGAGGTGTGCCAATCACTCCATCTTCCCACCGACCGAAGCATCTCAGGTCAGCCGACGTTGCTTTCGACTGACCCGGACGGTCGACCCGGAAGATCACGGAAACCGAGGAGATCGGCGAAGAGACTTCCTGGATTCATTTGGGCCCTGCCACTGGGTGGCCTCGTGGTACCCTGGACGGCAAATAACGGGAGTTGGTTGAAATCTTGTGGTCATTCCGACGGAGGCATGCAAAGATGAAGACGTTCGTCACTATGTCACTACGAGGAAGAGATGGAGGAAAATGTCTATCGTTTCCACTCTGGGCCTGTTTTTTTTTTGCAATTTTGACTGGAGATTTTGCCGCGTTTGGGAGGTTTTTCACCTTGGCTGGGCTGAGAAAAAGAGCAGACACGGTGAGCCAGAACGAATGCCAATGACATAAGCTTTGACATGGAGAACCCTCACCAACGCATACCCTGGCACAGTGACTCCAAAGTAGGGAAGAGAAGCACCGGCGTTTTGTGTGGCATTGGTGTGATTGAAGTCCGCGAGGTCATCGGTCACCGTAAGTCAAACAGCCTCCCCATCCGCATGTTGCGGAGTGCTTTGCGTGCTTCTAGGCGGAACAGGTGACTAAGAGTTCATGTCAGCATGTTGCTTTCAGAGTTCACATGTCATATTAAGTGCTCGTCTTGAGGATTTGTTGGGACTTTGTGGTGACCCCCGAGATCTTGTGCCACACCATGCAAGAAGCCAGCAAAAGGGAGATGGGACGCCATCAGCTGGAGCCTTGGATCATGTGGGGCGTGGGGTGGATTTGTACGATTGGTAGACGACGCCATGTATGCGGCCATATTATGCAGCTCAACCACAATGCATAATTAGTGTCACGGCCATCCTTTACAGAAATCCATGGACATCTGTATTTGAGTGCACCTTCATGTTGGCACTGTTGCATGAGACATGCTTCGACGCGGCAACTTGCGCACTCCGGAAAAACCTCCCGATCGACAAAGAGAGCAAACTCAGCCGTCTTAGTTGAGGTTGTTCTTAGTTTTGTCTTAGTTCTTGGCTCAGTTGTCTTAGTTCTTCGTTGTCTATTTGTTGCCGTTCTCAGGTTCTGCGTCCGCTTCCGGACCGATGAGTGTGTTGATTTCGTAAGGATGGCCATGAGTTTCTTGTCGCATGGGAAAGGGCCTTGGGGCCTTGAGACGAGTGAGTGACTTGTTTGAGAACGGTTTGGAAGGGGCTGTGGGTAGAGTTGAGGATCAATTTTTGGGAAGACCAAAGTATGTGTATCCAGATGATTTAAGAATCAAGCGTCTCAATTTGGCTTCCTTCAAGCCACTGAGGGCCTGGGATGGCTCTTGGCACGCAGCTTCAACTTGGGCAAGGGAGGAACAGCACGTGCTCAAATGCAGCTGGATGCATTGTGGCGCTTGGTCATGGAAGACCTGGATGCTTGGATTTGCTGTCAGCTAATTTGGACAGAAGATAGACCAAAGACGGAGCTTATTTGTGCTATATGACCAAGACCGCCGCCGCATCCCCAAAAAGGAATAAGATGTTTGACCCAGCACCGCCAGTCAGGAGAGGGCGGAGCCGGCGGCCAGCGAATTTCGAAGGTGGCGGAGGTTCTGCTCCTCACTTGACAGAATTATGCGACTCCATTCGGTCTTGAACCAGGTGTTTCTTTTTCTTCAATGACATCGATGGCAAACATGTGGGGCCTACATGGCCATTTCAGGCATTAGGTCACTAGGTCTAATTAGTAGGGATCTGATTGAATCCGCCCTGGGCCGGGGTACAGGCTGCCTCCCGCTTTGGGTTTTTCTATCCAGTCCATGCCAACAGTCCGCCAGATGTGTCGACAGAGCGTCAGGCTATGTCCTCGGGATGTTGCTCCTGATGATCACTTTGCCGATCTCCTTGCCAGTCTCCATTGTTCACACCAGCTCATGGGTCAACCAGAAGCTCGTACACCTCATGCTGCTGATCTTCTGGGCATGCGCCTTGGAGTGCAGCAGGCTTCAAAAATGCCGAAGAAATCCTAACACCATGTGGCTGAGGTGGTGAAAAGTCATTTTGCCAACCCGCCTATAGGGCTTCATCGGGGGAACAAAGACGTGGGCTCCACCTTTTGTGAATTGAGGAGTTGACTTCTCTGGAGCATATGACTCCCCTTTTGTTCATTGAACTTTGCATTAATTAACTACAGAGATAATTTTTAAACAACAACTCTCATAGAAACGGGACAATGTGAAAGTTGCTTGACAATGTGATAAATGTGTCGATGACGTTCCGTCTTTTTTTCCAGGTAAGTAGTCTGTCATTATGAGTGATCCTCCTGGCACCGAGTCTAATTCTATGCGCCTACTTAACGCTCCATCCCTATCGGCACCCGTTATGGGTTCATGGCCTGCGGGTGGCCAGACTGTACTTCACACTGATCGCGACGAAGTTCGCCCCCTGTAGCGTGAAGATCCTCATGTGGGGTCCGCTGGGTTGGCAAGTGAAAAGGACTGGGCGAAAGTTTGGCACTTCGATTGTTGCCCGAAGGAGGTTGGGGAGTGAAATGGGTCATCGGAGTAGGCCTGGGTGAAAGAGCTTTGGTGAACCAAAGCTGCATTGAGTGCGGTGTTCGTTTCGGCGCATGTTGCCGGGTGGGTGCGCTTGAAATCCAGAGACGCTGGTTAAAAGACAAGGCATTTGGAATCTCTCCACCCCACTCTTTCACATGGAAAAGGAACGAATGCTTTCATGCAGATGGTCGGTCCACCATGTTCTCTGAGATGTTCTTACTATGTTGTTTTTGTCTGTGAAACGGTCACACGAAGCGGTTTGAGATCAATTTTGATCTTGTAGGACCTACTCGTGGTGGGCCAGGGAGGATTTCTGCTGGGAACCTCTGCTGCGAATCCTGCTCGCCGTGGCCCTCAGCGTGGTCTTTGCACTCATGACTGTTACTACCTTGGAGCCTCGTGTGCCTTGGCTTTCGGGCTTCGTCTGAGGTACTGCGCGTACGCTATGAATCCCCTTGGTTGAATTAGATCTATTTGAATTATTTCAAGTATTCTTCCTGGTCGCCTTGCCTGGATGCCATAATCCACCTCGCCTTGGCTCGTGGTCAAAAAGCTCAGTAGGAAGAGTAGTAAGAAGTAGGAAGAGGAAGGAAGTAGGAGGTGGATGCCATGATCTACCTCTTCAAGAAGGAGGAAGAGTACTTCATATGCACCAGCTTCCAACAATTTCCACGGACCCTGCTTTTTTCATCCAGGGGAAAGCGTGAGAGATCATGTGATTCCGCTCCCCCAGCACAAAGGTGCACGGCTGGGTATCGACCTTGAAGCCACGGATCCCCTTGATGGAAGCACGACTGCATCTTGAACTCTCCAGAGCCTGAGGACCCGATGGAGGACGGGGAGAGGATGGGAGGGGAGGAGAGGAGATGGCCACCTTCAACAGGTGCTCTACTACTATCCGCCTGCCGTCACCTACAACTGGTGCAAGAACTTGCTAGTTCTCCCTTGGTATTGCTCACGTTTTGGTCAAAGCAACTCAAGGCTGAAGGGCGAACTGCATCACGTTTTCTCTGAGTCAGGCACCTACAAGGCCCAAACTGCCCGGTCCCTGATTCCAAGCGGGGCCGCTTTACCACACTTGCGTCCAGACCGCCCGACAGGTCACGTGACGGGTGATACGCGAGAGGCGCTTGCATGAAACTTAGCTGGGCTGCTGACGTTGCTGAGCTGTTTGCATGTTGAGGCACAGCCTGATTGAAACCAGAAGATATATGTTTTGGAAGAGGTTTGGGACGTGTTGGCTTCCATCCTTGACCACCACATAATTCCAACAACGATTCTGGACATGGCTAGGAGCCCACCCGCTCACCCTACTTTTTTCCATTGACTCTCATAAACCTGCCTTGATCAAATCTAAACTCCTGCGATCTATTCACAGCTTCTTGGGGGAAGAAAACAGCAGCTTCAGCCGGATGCTATGATCTTCAACGTTGTTTCAGCATGTGTCAACACTGCCGAGAATCTCGCGAAGTAGCTCAGCATAGCCCAGCACAGCCCAGCGAATCAGATGACGGGAAGAGAATTGGCATTGTGCAAGAGCCACCTGTGAGATAGGGGCCACCAGTGCCACAAACAAATCAGGCAGACCTACCACCACGATTGAATACTGCCTCCCGGGCATCTTGACACAAGGCGAGCGGGGAGCACGTTCGCCATGCGGCCACCGCAGCCAGTGGGTGATTTGCGAGCATCTTTGCAGGTGACAGAAAAACCTGCTTGGTTCAGGTGCCGTTTCAACTTGGCTGAGGCCGCGAAGTCAAAAGTAATTACCAGTGAGACGTGCAGCAGGTCAAATTTGATCAAATTTGCACCAACCCTGCATGGAATGGAATCACTGGCTTCATTTGTTCACCGTTTTTCGGCATCAAGGTCGGTAGCCAGGTTTACTGGCGGCTTCCCTGACCGGCATTGACGGCATTGTACTTTTGTCATTGATGCATCGCAATGGTCATGATGTCTAAGATGCTTACCATGTGGCTTGACTTTACGCGCATTGTATTGTTTGTTTTGTTGATATGTTTCACAGTGAGCATGGGCGTGGCCTGTTTGACTCGCCCATGCTCCTTTGCTCCTTCGCTTTGTAGAGCACCTCATGATCTTCATGTTTCTCAGAGTTATCTGGCTCTTTTTGGAGGGACGCGTCCACGCCCTTTTCCTCTCTCCCCAAGTTCACTGGTTCCACTTTGGACCTTTGTTGGCACAGGTCCTGGCACCCACCTGGGAGAAGATCGCTGAAGACTTGAAAGGCCCGAATCTTGGCACCGTAAGGGATGCTAGTGCTTTGCAGATGGAATATTGGATTGGTAAATGTTGGTAATGCAACAGGTTTTACAATGCAAATGGATGGAGGTGAACGTTTTTACATGAGGTGGGATGAGTTTGAGCTTCCGAAGCTTTCCTGCTGCAGGTTTTGCCAATCATGGTAGCCATGGTCAGGTAGACTTCTTCCACGATGGAAAAACCACCTCTCTGGGTTGGCCGTGGCCCACCATTCATCAAGTTCAAGAACTGCCGGACAACATCTTTCGAAACTTCAGTTTAACTTCAGCCGAGTTTATTAGACATTATTAGTAGACCTATGCGTGCACCACATTCCACCACGGTATTGATCTTGAATAAGGCTTTAAGGGACTGTATTCTATGGAATTCTTTCTCTGGGTGGTTCTTCCCGCAAATGATTACTTTGGACATCCGCCAGTGTTCCACCAGAAAGTTACACCATCGACCTCCAGGGCAGATGAACGTGGGGAAGGTGGACTGTACCGAGGCCCTGCTCGGGAGGCGGTATGAGGCGGTGCATGTTGGAAGCATGAAGACGATTGATAAAGCATGAAGATTGATGAAGTTTCCATACTTTTTGCACTAGTTTAGGTGATGATTTGGAACTCAAAGTGAGGATCATGATGGATCATGGGAACGTGTGAGAATCTACTTCTGGGATGGCTATCCACACAGCATGCAGTGTACCACTTGGCGAAAATGGAAGGAGAGGACATGTGATACTGGTCCCGTAGCAGATCCATACGTCGTGGCTTGCCAGTCAGAGCACCGGAACGCTTGCCCTTACCAAGTGGCAAGAGCTTTGGGGTGTCGCTGAATTTCGTTTACACCGACAAGAAACAAGTGGGGATTGCTTTCACTCCTACAATGATCCTAGAATCACATACATGGCTGCTTTGGCTCCTTGGACTTTTCCACGCGGCTTTGGGGACAACAAGGTCGACCCATCTCCACTCAGTTGGCCAGACTCAGATATCAGATTTGGACGACGGTGTAGGTGATGTACATATCCGACGTCAAAATCAGACGAGTTTGAATGGCATGACATCATTATATGTTTGCTTTTTGTTGTTTCCTGACTTTGTGTATCTCTGTGTCTTCATCATTCGACTGGCTTTCCGTGGACGTTCTCGTGCCCCAGATAGACCCAAACTCCCACGGTGGATCGAGTTCACTCGACGATGTTCACTTGGTGAAAAACACACCGCCCACAGTCGCAATTCCTCGGGAGCTTGTTCAGCATCCACGGCTTTCCCACGCTGAAGATCATCGCCGATTCTTGGGCTGGAAGAGTCTGGGGAGCGGTTTGGACCGCGATGGCCGGTGATCCAACATATGATCCCGATCCTCAGGACCCGAACTGACTGACTCTACGAATGAACTGACTGACTCAGTTCTCCTGTGCTTTTGGATGCTGTAAGGGATGCTTGTTTGGTGAAATAAATCGTCCTCCCTCTTCTTCAATTTGGTGTTGCCTTGCAGTCCAAAGGTCAGAGCGATGGTTAGGGGTTTCGATTTTCATCAGCCCTCCTTAATATTTCGGAGACCTTTCATGAATGGTCACTTCGAGGCGCTCAATTAGGTGGGATCAGGGTCAGCCTGAAGCTTGGCAGCGTAGACTGGGGCACGGGGAATTTCAACCCGAAAAGAACATGCAGATCACCATCTAAAATCTAAAGCATTCTCCTCAGGCCACTGCTCTCAAACCAGAATTTTCCGGTGTGAAACCACCCCGAAGCTCACGGCCGTTTTGAGGACGGGAAACTGTTTGGGAGCTCAGAATGGCTTCGCTTTGCCAGTTGGAGCGTGGAACTGGGCCCGGTCAGAAACCGTGGAACTGGACCTCCTGAACTTTCATCATGCGTTCGTTCTGCATGAAGCAACGCTAGTTGAACCACAACCTGAGGCCCTAAGGGACACGATTTGGTGGGTTTGTTGCTCAAGAGCTAACACTAACCGGGGCACATTTGTCCGCAGCTCGGAAAATGCCGGTCAGGGCACTAGAGGGACGATAGGAATGCACGAGGCGTGTAGCATCCACCCTGCAGAGGATGTCCTACCAACCTGTATCGTAATGGGTGACCCAACCCGATAGGGAAGTTATTTGCAAGCTGGAAAGCCCAATCGGGGCAACCCTGTCAACCCTCTATATCGAACTTCTTGGCGGGCAATCAATCTCAGGGACCGTTTTCCGTTTGAATACGAGCTCCTTTGGTGCTTCCAGAATTGATGCAGCTATTCTTGAAAGAAGCGCCATGCTCCGATTGTTTTGGCGCACTTCCACTCCGTTTTCTCAGAAGGTCCACGGATGTTGACAGGGGTTCATGTGGAATTGTAACCAGCTACTTCTTGTGCACCTGTAAGTTCTAGTCTCCATACCCTGGTGCCATCACTGTACATGTTCACTAGCTAGAAGACCTCTATAAAGACAACTAAAGAGGAGGCTTTTCTTTTGTTAAAGGGTTGCAAGCTATTCCTTCTTCAAGCCTACTTCCCAAATTGGGGCTGTGGCACGGACAGTCAGCAAATCGCGCTATTCCTTCTTCAAGGCTTGCCCCTCCGGCTCTCTTTTTGTCTCAGTCTCTCAGGTACTCCTTCTCTGGCCGCCGTAGCCGGGCGTGCTCAGACGATTTTCAATCCTGGGATCTTGTGTGCGAGTTGCCACCTGCCACAGACGATGCGAAGAAGTTGACGTCCAACGAATGCGTATGTTTGAACACACTCTGCAGCGTTCGACCCCATTAGACCGTGAGCCCACATGTTTGAATATATATTTCTTTCTGAAAATTGACGAACCCTGGGGCCCAAACGGTCTTTGAGCCCTTTGTTCCAGCATCCTGAGCATCCAAATCAGCGCACCACTTGAGGGCCGAACTGTGAAGCATTCAGGTCTGACTCTGCCAACAGTGGACGTCACCACGCAAATGACCCCTCGCGGTCTCTACACTGCCCCAGGCTATGAAACCTTAGTCGAATGGGCGCGCGAAGGCGGGAGTTGCTGAAGACTACCCGATGTTGACACAGGACACAGACGTGTGGGATTCTAGCCACAACATGCCACAACCATCTAGTTGTGGGCGAAGCAGGGAGTGAAAGCACATTTTTTAGTGGTTTCGGAACTTCTTTTGTAGCAAATTGGGCATGTGGAGCAAACAGAAGGTGCATCCGCTTAGAGGCCCGAGACATCCGTGAAGACCCGGACAGCGCCAAAGATGCCCTTCCCTTCAACCCCAGTAGTCAGAGGCCCATGGCTAACTAGACCTAGCGGATTCACAGCTTCGTGGTGGGCACCCTAAGAATCGTCTCTAAAGCCAAGCACTGCCCACGGAGTCTTTCCCGCCAGTTTTGGGGCGAGGAGGTTTCGTGCCGCGAGCCGCTTTCGAAGCACCTTGGGCTCCAGTGCTGAAGCTCCACCAGCCCTCAGCGATCGCCATGGGAAACCTGTCCACATGCTGCGGCCCACCGGAAGAGAAGAATCCTAGATGAAATTGGCTGAGCTGAGCTTCAGGAGGGTGCCTCAACAACGAATTGCCATGCTAATGTTTTCCTAGGAGTGACTCAGTGACTCATCAGTGCTTTTCTCCGAATTGGAAGCGCTGGGGCGCCGCTGGGCCCCCCAAGAAATGAGGTGATCCAGTCCGTAAATACCCGAGGAGGGCAGATCCTGGGAGTCTGGAAGAACTTGGTTGGAACCCACCGCAGGGTCACCATGAGACTCCTTGGGGGCTTGGGTGTTCTTGAGATGGGCCTGATCATTTGGTGCCCGTTCAAGCGAAACCAGAGGCCGTCGCCGTGGTTACTCGACGATTTGCATTCGCAATCAGCTGCACCTACTCGAGCGAGATCTTTCTGCATGCTTGAACCTTTCACCGAGAGATTCCATGTAGAAGTGGAGCCCCGTTTGTTCGGCGTCCGCCGCAGGGTCGTTGCGAGATCTAAGGAAGCAAGAGCTCATCAAAGTTCCTGTGAGGAAGGGTATGGAGGACATTTGATGTGGGCCAGGCAACCCTGTTTGAGGGTGTTGTCCAAAATAGGTTGGCTCTTTCTGGGATAAAAGAAATTACAAAGATGTGCTGTATGTGACTACTGCCGGATTTGGTCCATCAAGCAGATCTTTTGATGAGAATATTTCCCACCGTCTGATGAGCAAAAGAGCATGAAGACCAGGAAGAGCATGAGGAAGCGGAGGAGGTGTTGCCGAAGGGCTTCACTATCAGTTTTCTCGACCAGAAGCCTGGATTGCAAGAGGTCTTGGTGCATGGCAAAGATCGCCGAGTATCGGTTCCGAGTGTTTGATGCAAAGATCGCCAGACCTGCATAAAATCAAGATATCGATGCGGCCTGCAGCCTGCCCTCAGTTCAGCAAAATCTACGGGTACTCTTCTTCCGGCTGGAGACCGGAGACGGGCATGCCCCCCCAAAAGGAAATCTGAGGACAGCACGGCATCCGGTGCCTCATCCGCATGTCGACGTCCCACCCTAGTTCCTGACAGCCCATGGCTTTGGGCACCACAGAGATGCACGTCCTATGGGAAAGGCTTTGGTCGGGAACACATTTCAGGGATGCATTCAAACATGTTCAAACCATCAGCTTCATGGTTAAAATTGCCTCATGGGATCCATGGGAGATTCGACGAATTCTCCGCTTCATGGTGTGCGATCGGATCTCGACGTGCTCGAGGACGGGGAAGGAGGTGGACGTGACCTTCACGGAGCAACCACTGGGCTTCAAATTGGTGAAGACCCAGGTTCCCCTGACCGTCTCAGGGATCTTGGACGCTTGGAGGCAGCAGGTTGCAACCGAAGCATCGTTTGGATATGTTTGGATGCACCTAGAGTGGGGGTGCAAGCCATGGGCGAGGTTCAAAACGTTCGTTTGGAAAACGTTGGAATCATCACCAGCCAGAAGTGCTTGCCAATGTGGGGAGCCGAAGTCACCATGGATGATAAATGACAGTGGTGTGAGGGCTTCAAGTTTAAAACATTGTGAACCTTCCCTTTCTCTTTCTCCACTCGAGCTCCTTTGAGTCACTTGGATTCATTGTCCTTGCTTTGCCTTCTTGGGCATCTAATAGCCGAATTAGAGCATGGGGTAGGGAATGTTCTCATGTTCCATCATTTTCCCATGCCCGCATGGCAACGAAGGCGCCACGAGAATCGTCCCTCCCAGAAGTTAAAAGGAAATCCAAGACATTCGTGCAATGAGCATGTTGTTCGCCATGGGTAATGTGTCAAGATTAGTCCAGAGCTGGGTGCTGGAATTCAAAAGGTTGGACCAACTGCTTAGGACGAAGGTTGCGTGAAGGCCAAACATCTTCACGTGGAAGCTGGCTGGACCATCAAGAGTCTTGGATTCGTTTGCTGTCACTGGCGTGTGGAGGAACCAGTTGTTCAAGGGGTGCATCCAGCATGGAAGCGGGCCCGAGATCCAGATCAAACCCACGAGTGGATTCTCTCCACATCTTTGTGATGTTCACCTCATGAGTGCCCCGATGATCTGCAAAATGTCGCAATGTTCCAAGGCTGGAGGTTCTGACATTAGAAGTTGCTACCTGACATAGCATGTCGCGCATGTCGTAGCAATGTTTTGACTGGTGACCTGATTGGAATTCCTCCGGAACAGTCCGGAACCACGGGTCCGACTCCATTTGGCACCCCAGCAGTGTCCCATTGGGCACCCACGGCAGGCGATGGGCTTCGAACCCTTCCCACCGATCCGACGAAGGAATGCCCGAGCGAGCCTCGGTCGCCTTGTGTCGCACGAACGCATGCGCTGAGGGCGGTGAACGGCATGGATTTGGCCAACAATGTCGACGACGCCTTGGATCAGTTCCTCGGATCAAAAGCCGGTGGGTGAAGCACCGAGACTGTAGTCACTGTAGTCACTCAGACTGGGTTTTACAGAAACTCGGATGAAAACTGATGAAATCCTTGTGATTTGAGAGCATGATCCACCAGACCATGATGGAATTCAAGCCGTCTTTTGGGAACAAGAATCGGTCCTCACCGGATGAAACTTGGCCAAATCAACTCGAAAAGTGAGGCTATCAAGTTGGAGGCCATCACTAGTACTCTTAGGTTGGAGGCCATCGCAAGTAGGTTGGAGGCCATCCTTACCAGGTTGGAGGCCATCGCTCTTAGGTTCTTGAGCTCTTTGAAAAAGAGCTTTTCCTAAGACATTGGCGCGCCTTGGCAGCGTTTGGGCATGGAATTTGCCAGGGACGCAGCGGACGCGTTATCCGGACTGGTGGGATGGGTGGAAGCTTCATGTGAGTGGAAGCTGGTGGTGCCAACCAATGCAGAGGCGGCAGGAAATCTTATCCGCTCGTTTGAAGAAAGCACAGACATGTGATGAAAACAAAGATGGTCCCGAGCCTCGCTCATGCAGCATATAAGGCAGAAGGGTTCGTCATCCATCGTCGGTTTGGGAATTTGGCTCAGGTTCATTGCAACTCATTCGGATCTTGACTGATCCAGGTTTGGCCTGTCCGGCAGGCCTGTGTCCAAAACTTGTAGATTCAGGGCTGCCCAATGGGCAGTAAAGAGGAGGCAGTGCTGGAAGTAGACGTGTTAGTGCACAAATGCACAAGAAGCTCCTCATTTTCTAACATGACTGTAGGTGACCTCAGATGTAACACAGCAGACCAAGTGAATCGATTGAAGTGCGGCATTGAGCGGTGCTCCTCAAAGCTTGATGGCCACAGGGTCCACCAAGCCCTGAGTCTGTTTTGCCCTTGGCCCTTGGGTGTCTTTTCCACAACACCTGGCCTATCTCCTTTGGACTGACGTTTCGCTCTCGCTGGAGCGGAGAAAAGGGGGGACTGGTGCTGCTTCTCGGCTCGACTTCTTCACGGATTCAGTCCCAGATGTAGGGGGTGGGGGGGGGCTGAAAAGGACGGCCACCACCGACCCATAGGTCCATAGGACGTTATGAAGAAGATGCAAATAAAGCTAGCTTTGGAAGGTGTTTCCTATGCCCTAGGAAAGCCTTCCTCAAGATCGATTGAAGGCATCCTACACCCTTTTGGAAGACTGTGCCATTACTCACTGGGGTGCCTTTCTCCACGCCAGTGGCGTTGGATGTCTTTCTTCCATCGGCGGAGTAGGAAGCCTTCCACCAAGATTTGTCCCATCTGTATGGTTCGCTCTCTTTCCAGGCCGGAGTGGGAGCCTTGTTTGCTGCGAGTTTGGGGGGGTCACCACATGTACAGTAACTATAGAGAACAGGCAACTTTCCAACTTTCAATTCGTAGTTCCCTTTGGCAGCAGGAATTTGAGTCCCATCTTGAAGCAGATCCTTTGAGAGCGTGTCTCTCCAAAAGATCTGACCGTGTCCTCGGACACAAGAGCAACCAAGGCAACGTGTTCCGCACCAAGGCCACGTGCACAGGAGCCGTGAAGCAAGCGACCTGTCCCGGCCGACCTGTGACCTGTCCCTGCGCCAACGTGTCGAAACGAGTGGTTCTTTCTCGGAGAGCATGGACACACTGGGATGGCCAGGCTACAAGGAACAGGAGCCAGATGCCTACCCCTTTGACAAGTCCGAGGGCCAAGCGGCTGTAGAACCGCTTAGGGCCCTGACGTATCAAATGCCTTTGGGGGTGTGGTGGCCATGGGTTTGGGCCTCAGGGGTGACAGCGTGTGCCTTTGACACACTTCTGAAGCACACCCCTCGGAAAGTGACAGGCCGGAGAGAAATGTTGATGTTAATGTGCTACTGCCATGAGGGTTGGTAAAGTGATGTTCAAGTGATGTTAAGGTTCATTAATTACCACGCTAGGGTTGTAAAGCGCACCCCCCGGAAAGTTGGTAAAGTGATGTTCAGGTTCATCCCAAACTTACCAGGAGGCCCCCAGTGCGATCGAACTTCGATCACTCCTCCCCTCCCGATCTGCAAATCGATGTTTAGCGGGTGATTTCTTGGGCCAAAGGGGGGTGTTCCAGTGTGGTGGTGCTGTGGCCAAAAGAGGGTCCAGTCTATTGGTCCTTTGCGAAAACGAGGCTACGAGGTTGGGGAGGCAACCCGCAGGTTGAGAGACATCCCGCATTCTTTTGAGGCCAAGATTGGCCTAACTCCCTTGCGCTGTCCCCTCAGGTCTTCCAACGTCTACTTGGCCGCAGCTCGGCTGTTTGATGTGGAGACTTGTTGAATTCCAACCATGCGCAACATCGTATGGCCTTTGAAGCCTCACAGACTTCTTAGACTTCCATGAAGCCGTAAGGCGTTCTGGTCCATTTCTTCGCGACTTTGGGATGGTGCTTCGCCCGGGAAACGCCCCGTTGTTTCAGCGGTGACGAGGTAGCAGCGACGTTCTTCCAGAAGTATGGGCTTGGAAGCTCAGAGGGGACATGGCATGAGTCAAACGTACTTTGCTTCATCTTGAGGAACCCCCGAATCAGCGGCACGACATTGCGCGCGCAGACGGATTGCAATGTTGGAATCTACAAATGGCATAGCAATCAATGTATTAATACCATTTGATACCCTCCTTGATGTATTGAATGCATTCACCGCGGTAAGCCTTTCTCGGAGTTGAAAGGCCAGACTCTGAGGTTGTACCTCATTGGCCTTTCCCTCATCCTCCTCGGCTCGCTGGTTTGTCCGGGGCACAGGTTTTGGTGCGGGGCACCATGGGAGGCATGCTGCAGCTCCACCGCCTCATCTTGTTGAAGCGACGCCTCCGTGCAACTCTTTTCTCGTCTTTTCTGTCCATATGCAACCAAAACCAGATAACTTGGCCTACATTACCCCCCGTGATGGGATTTAGATTTCCAGGATCCAGATGTAGCATGTGAAGACAACTGATTAGCAGAAGCCATGATCTACCCAATTCTACTGAAAGCATACATATTCAAGGACATGATGGCCTTGGCCGGCGATGGGCCAAATCCCAGCGGGCGAAGACCATCCGCAGCATGTGGTCCGTCAACGGCGCGTGCTTGTTCACGAGCTGTGCGTGCATCCAATGACGTGTCCATACAGCCCCTTTTCGGCCACCCCACCCTCCAGCCAACAAATCCAATGAGTGAACCTGTCCCAAGCCAGGGGGATGGAAGACCATTGCATGCCCGAGAGTCGCACACCCATCACCCACCTTTTGCCGAACGGCGCGCGGAACGGACGCCTCGCCTGCGAACCGCGGACGCCTCCGAGGCTGGTTGGATCAGCGGAACTCCGGTGAAGACCCGGAGATCGAGGACCGTGGCACGGGCAATCTACTAGTAAGGCACTTGCTACTACTAGCGTGGCACTTGTTCCTAAT